ATTAATATTATTATTATTGTTATTATTAATATTAATATTATCATTCTATCTTTGCTACCATTATTATCAATGTTTTCACCATTATCATTATTGCATTCCCAGATTTCATGTGCAAGTGCAGCCCAACTGAGCAGTGCGGACTGTCGAGAGCTGGCACAACTACCAACCCAACCACCAACCCACCTACCACTGTCACCACTCAGGCACCAACGACTGCAACTCCTACAACGACTGCAATCCCAACTACAACTGCTGCTCCTACTACAACTGCGACTCCTACCACGACTGCAGCATCTGCTACTACTGCAGCTCCAACTACGCCTACGACTGCTACAACAACTACAGTTCCTACCACAACAACTGCAGTTCCCACTACTGCGACTACAGCTCCCACCACTACCACGACTGCAGCCCCTACCACCACCACGACCGCAACCCCAACTACCACCACAACAGCGGCGACAACAACACCACTTTTTGGAAGAATCTCCGGCACTTCTCAGTCTCGTGAGTACAGACCAGAGAATTAGTACATACATACGGTCGCTTTTAAACACAAGGGGGCTATCCCAAAAAATGCTGTTTTGGGAAAATCGAAGGAAACGTTTTTGCCCCTTGTTCAGTTTCTTTAAAAGACAAGGAGAGTTTTCACTATAACCAAACAAATATACACATTAATGAAACCAAACTTCTCCTATTGGTAGGGCAATGCCCAGTTTTAGTGTAGGTCAAGGTTTCTGGAAACCCCTGACATCTGGGTTATCCCCCTTGTCCTTACAAGCGACCTCGTACCCTCGGATAAAAGAAACTGTCCACAGATTCCACGACTAAATTTGAAAAGGTTATAATCGTACTACATTAAGAATTCTGGTTAATTATTTTAGTTCATTCAAAGACGAAACGATATGTCAGACTAGTTTTTGAACCAAACGTTAATTTATACACAAATAACCCACGATAAGAAGACCACCCCTCAAAAGTGCAAAAAAAAAAGAATTTGAGGAAAATCGCATGCATTGCCTTAGATAGAGTGTGATTTCATTAACATGTATGCCCTCTTCCCTTCCTCCCCC